TATATATATATATATATATATATATATATATACGTGTATATATATATATATATATATGTATATATATATATGTGAAGAAGGCGTGTCCATGTGTGTTTCGAAACATATGTAGAATATAATATAACGTAACAGTAAAGAAACTCAAATACGTAAGATGTTGACTTTAGAAACACTAACATTTATTAGGCGAATATTTCGGCTAATCCTGTAGTCTTTGTCAACGCTTGACATAAAATGAACATATTGAGAAACTATCTTAGCAATATACAATTTGAGAAACAATACGGTAATTAAGTCAAAGCAAGTCGGCATATGTCTATAAAGGATTAATGATAATGTACAAATAAACAGTGATAAGGGTGAACAATGAATGAGCAAGTGGTGGACTGTGGGAAAGCATTACTATAGTTAATGCATGGGGGAATTAATTCATCTATGGTTAATGGATAAGCTAAACATAAGGCATAACTAAAATCAAGAACAAGAACAGAAAGAGGAAAAGAAAAAAAAAAAAAAAAAAAAAAAAAAAAAAAAAATCCCACAGTCGAATCCAAAATGGCATTGAAAAATTTGTTCGTCTTAGATAAAAATTCGACTAACAGATTGTTAATTAATGAAATAAAAAAAACTTGACATGTCAAATAAGATAGACTTATAAATTATTCGAGTTAGGCAGAGTCGAATTAGGCAAGTTTAACTGTATATATATAATTTACAGTTTTAAAATAAGCTAATTTTCAGAGGCAATGTAAATACAGTACTTGCAATTTATTTTTCATCATCTACATAATAATACAGTGTATATACAATTTTGACATACATCATTTAAGACACTGCACTCAAGAAGTGGTAACTTAATTGAAACCACTAAAGAAATACACTCAAATGAGAGAAATAATACATTATACAGTAAAACAAAAAAATCTAAAGTGTTTGTATGGAACATCAATTATTTATAAACATTACCGTATAGTTATGGCACTGAGAGCATTGATATTATCTTTTATGGAATTCATAGACTATCCAAATTTAAAAATACCCTACATATTTTCAACAATCAATATTACCATGAAGCTATGTACTAAATTTCCTCTTCCATTTCCATCTAACAGCGAGTGATTTAACCACTTTCACCAAAGGTAGGAAGACATCTTCAAATAAAACACATCTACAATTATGTTACACACATTGTCCGCATGCATAATGGAAAAAATTCTCAATATGAGGCTTAAGAAAATTAAGATGTTATAAGTGATGTAAATAATCCTGATGTTTGCAGGATCCGACTCCAGCAGAAGTTGGAAGACGACTCGAATTCCAATTTCAGACTAGTAGAAAAAATAAAAATTAGAGTATACAGTATTTGAATGCTTTGTATTTTTTGGCTACCAGGCCCCAATGGGGAAAAATAGGCCCCCTGACCCCCAGGAAAAATCAGGTTTTATGTTTTAGCCACAGAGTATTCAGGCGCACTTGCAATTACAGCTCCAGGCCCCACAGCCCTATAATCCGGCCCTGTTTCAACAGAGAAAGCTGCGTGATGAGAAGTGGATAACAGACTATTTTGATCTGCTAGACTGTAAGACGACAAGTCGTATTGTGCAGCACCGATTTTACCATCAGATACAATTAAAATAATGCATTACTGTGTACAGTATTGTTCCAGTTTACCTATCGTAACTAAATAATGATAAAATTCATTAAAGCTCTATGAAAAGTTAATTACTGTATATTAATTTAAAATACTACTACTGTATTTAGATATAATAAAAACAACAATAATAATAATATTAAATTAATAATAAAAACAATAATAAATTATTAATAATAAAAACAATAATAATAATAATAATAATAATAAATAATAATAATGAATAATGATCATCATAATATTTTGTTACATACAGGGTATGAACGCCATTTCACACAGAATGACACTACCAATAAATCAGTGATGAAACTGGATAGGAAAATTGCATTAAAGATCAAATGATGACATCACAATTGGCTGAATAATTACAATATACTGTATATTATTAGGGTAAAACCTTCTGAAACTTGCATTGATTTCTCTATACATGAATAAACTCCACCACTTTTAATTAATATTTTTACTGTTCAGTATTTAACTCTAATTGCCTTAACAAAAAAACATTTTTGCTTGCAGTACATCACGTAAAAAAAAAAATATTCAATTGAAATGGCTGCTCAATTTGAATCTTCATCAGATTCATCATCAGTTTCTTCATCATCATCATTCCCACTTGTATCTGTTTCTTCATCACTCTCTTCATCTTCATCACTACTCTCATCTTCACTACTACTTCCCCAAAGCTGTCTTTCTCTTTCTTTTCTTAGTTCCTCGTCGATTAGAGGCTTAAACTCATTTGCTTCCTTGTTATCCGGCTCATAAATTAAAATCATTTGACAAAGTTTCTGTGCATTCTGAAAATCTTCATCCATCACAGCTTCAAGGAATTCACCTAACAGTTCAATTGGTGCCTTCCTCTCATCCTCCTCCCCATCTTCACTTTCCTCACTGCTGTCATCTTTGTCCTCTTTTGAGGGTTTCTGTGTTTCACTTGGCTTATTTACATTTTTTTTACACTCTCTACCATGTTTTGGGTTAACTGAATGAAGATCATCACAAGATGATTCTCTATAACCATGACTAACATAATAATCATCACTTAAACTCTTCACTTGCTCACTAACATTATCTTTTGCCGCACTTTCTTTTGGTTGAAGCTGAATCCCACATACTCCAGTTTCCAGTGAACTAATGCCAATGGAAGAGTTTGGTTTTGGTTCATGTTTTGCGCGAGATTCATTCAATGTTGGCGTTGTGTTATGAACGCAAGATTCATTCAATGTTGGAGTTGTACTACGAATAAATGATTCAATAACCTCATTATTTGGCATTCCTTGCTTTTCAAAGTTTCTCTTCACTGACGGTAAAACAACTTTTTTGTGAGCTCCTGAACACAACGTAGTATCATCACCAGTATTCCAATTCGCAGATACGGTATCAACACATTTTCGACTTGACCGTGAACAACTTGAATTTACACGATCTTTTGTTGTTTCCAATTTTCCTAGCTGATGTTCGTTTATTTTTGACCCAGTTGATTCAGTTAACATTTCTAGAGTACTTCCACTGCGTTGCAAAAGCTTAGGTGTTGTTGATCTCCTTCCAGATTTGGGTCTTTCAAAGATGACAGGTGTTGAAGGTCCAGCGCCCAGCATAGTTATACCATTCACAGTGTTATGGCTTTCACCCATCATGTTTTGGTTCAGTTCAGACTTAGGCCTAGGCTACCTTATGCCTAGCTAGTCAGATCTGTGGGGTGAGGTAAAATGAAATTTTAAAAATCAGTTTCAAATTGTTCAACTCTGATTTGTTTGCCTTCTTTTAAAATTCCATATGTTATTTAGGTAGGTAGACAATGTATAATCATAAAGAATAGGCCTTAGCCTATTACTTCTAGCCTCTAGGCCTAGGGCAGGGCCTCCAGAGAGGTGCATGTAGGCCTAGGCCTACTATAGAATGTAGCAATGAACAGTGCAGCACGGCACGGGGCAAGCACAGCAGCATGCCATGACCTTGGCTAGAAGGCTATAATCAAACCTGGACTTCGAATAAAAAACAACTTATTAACAAGCGTAAATTATTATTACATACGTATTTCCATGGTTTATTTGATGACCAAAAATATAGTAAATCACCATTTGAAGACACCGAAAGTATAACGTCGCTTGGATACTTTAAAACGGAAGTAGGTTGTTGCTTCTACTGCTGACCTTAATAATAGTATGATTCAATGCTGTAAGTTTTCATAGTATGTGCAATAATATTGTTTAAAAAAATCAAAATATATTCAAAATAATTATCTTAATTATTTATATTAATATAAAGTTACAATAAATGCTAATTTTGTTATATAAACTAAATTAATTTACGTTTCTTTTTAAAGAAATTTAAAGGTCAATTCAATTACGTAGCGTACAACAATGTTGATTGGTTAATGAAGCCAATGTTCAAATGAGGCGGGTTCTATGAAAGTACAGGAAATTGCGGGTACTGTAAAGTTAGTAACTTCTTTGTTTATTTCTTGGTTTACTTATTATAGTATCGATGTAATGATGACATATACTTATTTTGCCATTGAACTGTTTGAATCACATGATTACAATTATCCTAGGCTAGGGGGGGGGGGGGGGGGGGGGGGGGTGTTCGGCCTAACTACATCAGCCTAGGCCCTAGGCCCTAGGCTACAGTAGGCCTAGCTACTCGAGCTAGTCAGAGCAACCTGCCTAGGCTAGCTACGCCTATAGAGAGCCTCTTCTTTATGTTCTAGATTAGGCCCAGTATTTTAGGCCTGGCCTATAATAAATATGTAGCCTGGTAATATGCCCGTGACAAATAATGATGATCTTTAAGTTAAAAAAAAAAATTATCTTGTTTGGATTTAAATGAAACATAGGCATATGTCAAAGAATCTACAACAACATTCAAATCAAATATGATAGTATAATACATACTCTGAGTATTGAAATGCACGCCATTGTGTTGTTGGCGTGCATTTCGATTCTTGGAGTATGTATTATTGTACAACATTAAAATATTAAAACAATGTCGTAAATTATTATTACATACGTATTTCCATGGTTTATTTGATGACCAAAAATATAGTAAATCACCATTTGAAGACACCGAAAGTATAACGTCGCTTGGATACTTTAAAACGGAAGTAGGTTGTTGCTTCTACTGCTGACCTTAATAATAGTATGATTCAATGCTGTAAGTTTTCATAGTATGTGCAATAATATTGTTTAAAAAAATCAAAATATATTCAAAATAATTATCTTAATTATTTATATTAATATAAAGTTTCAATAAATGCTAATTTTGTTATATAAACTAAATTAATTTACGTTTCTTTTTAAAGAAATCTAAAGGTCAATTCAATTACGTAGCGTACAACAATGTTGATTGGTTAATGAAGCCAATGTTCAAATGAGGCGGGTTCTATGAAAGTACATGAAATTGCGGGTACTGTAAAGTTAGTAACTTCTTTGTTTATTTCTTGGTCTTATTATAGTATCGATGTAATGATGACATATACTTATTTTGCCATTGAACTGTTTGAATCACATGATTGCAATTATCCTAGGCTCGGGCCTATTTTTAGGCTAGGCTAGTGGGGGGGGGGGGGGTGTTCGGCCTAACTACATCAGCCTAGGCCCTAGCAGGCCCTAGCCTACAGTAGGCCTAGCTACTCGAGCTAGTCAGAGCAACCTGCCGAGGCTAGTTACGCCTATAGAGAGCCTCTTCTTTATGTTCTAGATTAGGCCCAGTATTTTAGGCCTGGCCTATAATAATATGTAGCCTGGTAATATGCCCGTGACAAATAATGATGATCTTTAAGTTAAAAAAAAAATTATCTTGTTTGGATTTAAATGAAACATAGGCATATGTCAAAGAATCTACAACAACATTCAAATCAAATATGATAGTATAATACATACTCTGAGTATTGAAATACACGCCATTGTGTTGTTGGCGTGCATTTCGATTCTTGGAGTATGTATTATTGTACAACATTAAAATATTAAAACAATGTTTCATTTGATTGAAATCGTGCTACTGTACTTCATTTTCAATGATTTTTCAATATTTTATTTTTCCGAACTTTATTCCTAATATCTTCCTATATCTACTACTGTACTATCTAGGCGTATTATTTTCTTCACAGATTTTGTGTAGTGTTAGCACTTATACAACCCTTATGCTACTAGAACCACTCCCATACCACCCAACACAACCCCCTCCCTTCCCCTACCCCAGTGCAGATATCAGTTAAGTACTGTACTATACATACAAATTAAAAGTAACTAAAAAATATTTACATAGGCCTACAGTAGAGAGTTTTTATTATTATACATAATTATTATGCAGTACTGTACATATCCTCACTAAACTACTGTACACTTCAGCTTATCCCCATCCCCTCCCTCCCCCTACTTCAGACCCTGCCCCATGTTAACACCTCTGTGTTTAAGATACAGTACACTATTTTAGTAAAGTACAATTAGTACATTACATGCAAATCAAAATACCTCCTCATCCCCCACCACCTTTCCCGTCCACACTGCCTTCCTCTCCCCCCACCACCTACAGTACCCTACCTAACAACCTTCACCCGCTGCCTAACCCCACCACCAGCATCTCAGTAGTGGATATACAACGGTTTATCCGATCCTAAATAAACCACTTTCCCAACGATTAAATTTCTTCATACTTGGTCCAAATTATAATTATGTAATTAAATAACAAGTACATTACTGTAGCTACTGTACAGTATAATAATTAAACTCATTGCAACTATTCCATCTGCTAAAAAAAAGTGGATTTTATTCTTAGTATAAGTTTCAGACTTTAACGACACTGTAAATATGATATGGATGACAACAAAACACATTTGTAACCTTTCTTTGAACATTAATGTGCATGTACAGTATGACATCAGCAATATCCAATAAAAAAAAAAGAAGCAAATTTTCACAGATTTTTTAAAACCAAACACCCTGACCCAGCAGTGCAAGCCCACCATTTGAACAAGTGACCAAAACTAGGAAGTGTGACATAACACAATAGATCCTGTTCAGGTTAAAAATTCTACAAGCGATGGTTTGAAAATTGAACATTTCATTGGTTGCTTTTTCTGCATTATCTTGATTTCTTCTTATCGATTCCATACACGCGTTCATCAGGGGAGGTTAAAAAAAGGGGGGAAAAAAGAAAGAAAAAGAAAAAAATGATAGCCAATGTTATTTTCGGGCGTCTAGAACACACAAATTTTCGGACCCCCTGGGGCTGTGTTGTCTCAATCGGCCCAACTTTCGGGCCCCCCTTTTGGACATCTCTTGATCTGCCCCTGTTCATAGTCTGTTGAGCTAGACTTATGTTGGTTTAATTCTTAAAACTCGACCGATACGTGTATAGATGTGAAAGGATTGGGGTTGAAACAGGGCCACGGCGTGAACGCTCCTTTCTTGACCCCATTATCTTGATTGATTATAGATAAATCCATAACTTACTTTTTTGTCATTGAATTAAAAATGAATATAAAGTACTGTAATGCCTATTCTTTTATAGGCCTAGGCCTAGTCTTACTCTTTAAGACTTAAGAGTATAATAATACTATATCAATTGGCAATAATGAATAATTAAACGTAATTATATTCATATTATTATGAATCAGTAGTACATACTGATAAATTATAGAGAAAAAAAATGCCTCCACGAAAACGAAGGACGAAACTGACAACACGAGCAAAACCAAAACTTCCACATGGAGAAGACGATGAAATGGATGGTAATGAACGCAGGAGCAAAATGGAACTATTACTAACAGATTTTGACTTAGAGGGTATGATAAGCTTTTTTTTTTTCATACTTTTATGTTTTTATTTTAGAATTCTTGACTTTCTCTCTTACACCTTTAAATGTTAATGACGATAATGACAGATTTATATACCAACCTCTTAAAGAAGAAATCTAAACAAATAAACTACAGTATTTATTCGAATAAATGCCTCTGGCGTTTGTTGTTGAGAAGGGTTGGTTTTTTTTTTGGGGGCGGTGTTTATTTGAGGGTGGAAGATTATTACTTGAGGGACCGGAGGTGTTTATTTTTTTGGATATACAGTAAGTTAAATGGATGTGTATGCCCCTAATTTCATTGTAAATTTGGAACTACAATGTTACTGCCAAAATGTGATTTTGCATGATCATAGACATATTTATTGATCCCAACCAGGTTAGAAAAAAATGTAATTCTACTGGAGGAGAAAATATTACTAAATTGTGTTGAGAATGGCATTGCTTCCATTGGATTTGTGATTTATAGGGCGTTTATTTGAGTAAACGAGGGAGGTGTATTCCAAATGAGGCTCTAGAGACGGAGTTTATTTGAGAGGGGAATTTATTCAAAGCGGGGTGTAT